AAAAAAAAAAAAACAAATTTTATTGCCTTGAGGGCTGGGGAGATAGCTCAGCAGCATAAGTGCCTGCCTGGCAAGCACAAGGTCCGGAGTTCGATACCTGGTACCATATACTGCACCAGCCCCAGAACAGTCAGGGTGGTGCACAGCTGTAATCCCAGCACTGGGGAGCTGAGACAGGAGGATCACTATGAGTCTGAGCTACATAGCAAGACCCTACACCAAAAAACAATAAAATTAAATGTTGAAAATGTATTACCTTGAGAGACACATTGCCATTAGTCTGTCTTAAAATACTCCCACTTTACCCCATCCACCTACCACTCTCTGAAGTATTTTACCTTGCCTCTTTTTTTTTTTTTTTTTTTTTTTTTTTTTTTTTTTTTTTTTTTTTTTTGGTGCTGGGGATTGAACTCAGGACCCTGAGCTTGCCAGGCAGGCGCCTATTCTACTGAGCTATCTCCCCAGGCCCTGCCTTTACCATTTTTGAGTGTACGATTCAGTACTGCTAAATGTATTCACATTGTTATAAAAAGGATCTCCAGAAGTTTTTTCTTGCAAATCTGAAACTCTGTGCCCATGTATACCTTTTCTTCTGGCCTCAGATGCCCACCATCTATTCTACTTTCTGTCTCTATGAATTTCACTACTCTAGGTACAGTCATAAAAATTAAATCCTGTACCCAAGGGCCTGAGTTCAATCCCCGGTTCCGCAAAATAAATGAATAAATAAAAATAAATTAAATCCTATAGTATTAATAGTAGTACTTAATCCTGCAGTAGATGCCATTTCAGACTAGTTTATTTCATTTATTATCATGTGCTCAAGGCCTGCTTATATGTCGGTGTTTGTATAAGAATTTCCAAAGGGCTAAGTAATATTCCATTCTACGGAGAGACTGGTTGGCTTAAGCTTTCACCAACCACGGGACACTTGGGTTGCTTTTGTCTCTTGGCAATTATGAATAGTGTTACCCTGCAGATGGCTAGAAGGATGGATGTTGAGTACCTTTGCCATAAAGCTATGATAAATGTTTAAGATGATGGATATATTTATTTAACTCAATTTAATCATTACGCAATATATACGTTGTTAGGTTTTTTCCAGTGCAGCTTTAGAGACAAAAAGTAAAGGGAGGCCTTTAGTGAGGACAGAGAGAGGACCACAGGAAAATGGCAGGGACCCTGACCTGTGACAAACAAAGCTAGGGCTGTGTGGACCTTTGATAGGGGCAGAGTTTGGGGCCAGGCTCAGTGATGTGAAAGGGGCTGGCTGGACTTTTGTGGTGCACAAGGGAAGAGTAAAGGAAGGTGTATTCAGGGCTGAGTGGAGAGGATGGGGGTGGTCCTTGGGAAGATAAGCTGTTGTTCGGGGCTTGAGCCGTGTTAGAACACCACTGTGGCAGTCAGCAGTTCATAGTGCAGCCAGAACCTATCGTGCATGTCCCCACAGTGCGCCTCCAATCTCCTGGAAGGTGAAAGGAAGGGACAAAGTGGCAGTGCAGTGGGAATCCAAGATGGATGCTGGTTCATGAGAAACAGAAAGCCAGGAGGCAGCCAGAGCCGGGGCAGTTATTGATTGAGGAGGGGGTTATGGGATGGCTCAGTGGGTGGCGATGGTCTTATGCTGAGGAGGATCTTGCTTTGGAGTGTCTTTAGTCTGAGCAGTCTTAGTATTAGTCTTACTATGTGGGAGAGGATGGCGCAACCCTCATAGGATAAAGGGAAATCTGTCAAGTTGATACCAGAACTCCCAAGCCTCCGTTCATCCCTTAGGGAAATATGTAAAATTAGCCATTGTGAATTTGTGGTCCCCACTATCAGAGCATCACAAGCCACCCCATAAGTATATAGAATTTATTTTATTTTGTGGTACTGGGGATCAAACTTGAGAACGTGTGATTGCCAGACAGGTGCTTATGCCACTGAGCTGTATCCCTGGCCCTAGTACATACAATCTTTATGCTTTTAGATATTAGTTAAGATTAATGTACTTATTTAATTTATGTATTTGGTGCAGGTTCTCACTAAACAGCTCAGACTTGTGGTGATCCTTCTATTTTCAGCCTCCCTAACTGGGATTACAAGTGTGCGCCACCACACCCAGTCTCAGAGGCCAGCTCAGTGCGCCCAGGGTTAGGGACTGGTGGGGTATGTGGTGCCAGGGATCAAATCCCCATTCCTGCACTTGCCTAAACAAGTGTTTAGTCCACTGAGCTATCTCACTGGCCCTAAAATAAATTTAACTTAAACTTTAACAAAATAAAGAAAAAGCCAGGCATGGTGGTACACACCCATAATCCCAGCACTTGGAGGCCTGAGGCAGAAGGACCATCTGGAGTTCCATGTCAGTTTGGGTTGCATAGTGAGTTTAAGACCAACCTGAACTACATAGCAAAACCCTGTCTCAAAATAAATAAACAAACACAAGTAAAAATAAATAAATATTTTTAGAATGAAAAAGAGAAAAAAAAAATGAAAGTTTCTTCAAAGAGGCAAATATCTGCAAATGCCAAAGAAATGAAAGTTCTATTGGTGACAGAAAAAAACAATGCAAAGATTGATAGCAGAGGTAGAATAGTGTGGTGATTGGCCTTGTGTCAACTTGAGATGTCAGAGTTTGGCTGGCTTGGCTAGGTGACACCACGCCCTGGGGCCTGGCAGCCTTGCCCTAGAGTGACTCAGCACAGAAACATAGATAAAGGGGCTGAGGGGGACTTCGGCCAGCCTTACTGCCTCAGAGAGCAGGGATCTTGGCACCAGCCGCCAGCACTTCCTCGGAGGAGCTCTGGTCCTTGCAGTCAATGTGGAAGGAAGAGGGACAGGCTTGATGCACGCCGCAGCTGCTGCACCAACTCTGCTCGTCCTTGCTTTCTCCCACTATGCACTGCTGCCGTTTGCCTGGGAGCCAGCCAGGTACAGACTGACACTGCCACAAACTATGAGATAAAAAAAGCTTTCTTTCCTTCATTTTGAGTGTCGGGTATTTTTCCCAGCCTTAAGTGAAAAGAAACAGAGAAGTAGCAATTTATTTTTTTGGGTAGTAATCATATACAGAATTATTTCTTCCATGTTCTCATTTGAAAACTGATATTCTGGGCTGGGGATAAAGCTCAGTGGTACAGAGCCTGCCTGGCAAGCATAAGGTTCTAAGTTTGATTCCCAGGACCAACAAAACAAAACAAACACCAGGTTCTAATGGTGTAGAGAATGATTTTACTTTTTTTTTTTTTTCTTCGGAACCGGGGATTGAACTCAGGCCCTTGGGCTTGCTAGGAAAGCACTTATTCTATTAAGCCACCTCCCTGGCCCCTAGAGAATGATTTTACAAGAAATTAATTTATTTTAATGTCTACAATTTCTCTAGTTTTTTGACACCCCTCTCTGAGAAAATATTTAATGTTATTATTTGGCAATAATCAATTGTGTCTCTCCATGCTTCTGGGCCCTCACCTTTCAGATATAAAATAATGCTTACTCATTTTAACTTTGAATTGAAATTATTAAAAAAAAAAAAAGACATGAAAAATGCTGAAGTTTTGTCCTTTAGAAAGCAGTTAATGTCATTAATGTGTTAGGAGGAATTTTTTTCTTTTTCTTTCTTTTTTTTTTTTTTTGGCTGGCTCGGAATGCCTTCAGTGCATGTTTGGCTGCCTAGAGTTGTGGGGATTGAACCACAGCAACCTGAGCCTTACTGCTTTGTTGAAGCAGCCACTTAAACAATTGAGCTAAGAGGCAGGGCCCAGAAGGAATTTTTTTTTTTTTCTCCCAATGCCTTCAGGGCAGGTTTCACTGGCCTGACTGCTTTGTTGAAGCAGCCACTTAAAAAACTGAGCTAAGGAGCAGGCCCCCATAATGGTGTAGGCAGTTGAGCTACAGGAAAATCTAGGCAGTCAGACAAGCCTGGACCCTCAGAAGGAGCCAGTGTGGATGACAAGATAGCTTATATCTATGGGAGAGATAGGCACTCCTGGGCCAGACCTCAAGACAAAAGAGTAAACAGATGCACCCACATACTCCCTGGGGATGGCATTAGGGATTGATATTCTAAATAGGAACTAATCACCTTGTAAAAGCTAGGAAGAGTCACCTATCCACCCTCTACAGGAATTGCCCCTATACCTATTCACGCCCACTTGCTACATGACTCATTTCGCCATTTGATCCCCATTTAATCAATTTTACCTGAGCAATCACGCTTGTAATCTTACTGGTTGAGCATAGTTTTATGCCACCTCTTGTGGGAGCTCTCATGTTTTCCACCTTAGAATACCTTACCTCATGGTTTTGCTCTATAGAAATCACTAGAAAAGGCAGATTCCTGGGCTACCCACTCGGGACCCCTGCTGTCCCTCTCACGGATAGAAGCATTCTTTCCCCCAATAAATACATTCTGCTCCTAACCTCTGTTATTCCTAAAATTCATTCTTCCATTTTAGAGACTATAAACTCAGCCCAGGTATCTTTCAGCGGGGGAGTTTCATTCCCCTACATCAATATCACTATTGTAATAAAAATAAATTCTGGAAAATATGAAATATCTCTACAATATATTTAAACACCTGTAAGGATGCTTAAAAGTCATTACATTCTGTCACTGATAAAATATTGGAAATATGACAAGGCATCTTACAGTACTGGACAATGAACAGGGAGGCCAAATTCTGTTTCTACAATAATGGGATTTCCTCTGCAACCAGGAAAACAACAAAGATAGCCCTGTGGACTACAGAGAGAGAGAAAAAAATAAGAAAAAAATTTTTGAAAGTTTCAGTTTCCTGAGAAAAGGAAACTTATCTGATTGGTCTGAGGCTTTCCTGGGCTTGCCCTGCAGCCAGAGTGAAGCTACATAAACATCTGCTGCAGCCAGACCTCTCAAGCCTGGCAAGCAGGTGAGTGTGAAGATGGCACAGGAGCAAGGTGTGTGTTAGGAGGGACAAAATCAGCCAGCACAGACAGCCACCTTATTGGAAGCAGCTGGACCTGGCTCGGGTCTGGCATGCCGTGGAGCAAACCCCATATTCTCTCTCAGCTGGACTGTTCCCACACTTATCAAATGAGGATAGGATCCCAGCTCTGACACTGAAGAGGTGATGCAAAAGCAAAGACCTACCAATTCGGCCGAGGTCTGTGCCTTGACAGTGTCGTTGGTTCTGACTTAAAACAGCTCCAGTCACAGAAAACACAAGACACAAAGCCCTGAAGATCTCGGAAGGCAAACAGCTTTATTTCCTCTAGTGGACTGGTGGGAATGTCAGTTCCGAATCACCAGCCTCTTCTTGGGGTTCAACAGTCACTTCTATAGACTGTTGGAAGGAAGTGCAAAAGGAAGATAACAGGCTATTCCACAGTTATGTCACATAATGCTAGGCAGAGTTATGCCCAGCAAGTTAATTGGGGGTTACTAACGACCAACAGGGAGGTCAGGGCTAGGGAGAGCAGGAGTCAATCACTGTCTAGGACTGAGCCAGGTCTTTCTCTATCCGGGAAATCTCTGAAATAATCTAATAAGATGCACTGTCTAGCTGAGCACTGGAATGCAAAGGCTGGCTGGATTTTGTTATTCACTCATTATGAGAACAGGCCCGGTGTGTCCATCTGCTCCCCATCCCCCCCATCTCCTTCCCTCCCTTGGCCTTGAATCTAGCCTTTAGGGATACTATTTTAATTTTTTTTCTTTTTTTTTTTTTTCAGAACAAGGGATTGAACTCAGGCCCTTGTGCTTGCCAGGCAAGTGCTTATTCCACGGAGTCATCTCCTCAGCCCCAGGGGATACATTTTTGAATTGCCTTTACACTCCGGCAGATTTAAGGGAGTCCCAGAAGTGTCTAAACGGGGATGTGCGCGTGGGGGGGATGGGAATGGGGTGTGGGGAGGAGATTACTCAGTAGAATAAGCTATTGCCTGGCAAGGGCTGGGTTTTGAGTTCAATCCCTGGTACCGAAAATAAATAAATAAAAGAAAAACAAAAGAAAAAATAAAATGTGATCACTGGGATATCAGTGAAGAAGAAAGCAGCCATCTGTGGTAAGTAAAATCTCCTGAGGTCCTGCACAACCTGATATGCACACCCCCGCACCAGGCCTCCAGAGCCTCCAGCCTACCCTGGTGCCTTAAAGAATTTTCAGATCAGTGGATGATTAGACAGTTCTGGATTCCCTCTCCCACCAAAGCACCACCCTTTTTTGCAGGCTTGGAAAGCCTCACGACGATGTTGCCATGGAGTTCCTTGGAACAGGTGCTCTGGTCTCATCCGTAGGTGCTAAGATAGCATCAGCAGTGACCTTGGCTCAAGTTGGTGGCGCAGCCACTGGC